AATTCCGAGGATTTCAAAGCTCAGAGAGAATCAAGAATAGCTGAAAAACGAAAAAACCGTGAAACACTGACTCTCCATGCAGGAATTGTAGAAGTTGCAGACATGCCCGATTCAATCCATCGTTACATAGCTCTTGGACATAGCTCTAAAAATATATTCCATCGAATATACACGCCCTATCCGTGAGGTCGAGTGGGCGTGGCAGTGAACTTCATTCAAACGTGTCTACTGCTGCGCTTTTGACAAAATGTTACCGTTTCACGTGTGCTCGTGCATTTGTCCAATACACATCAGAATGACAGTCCCCCAAAAGGTAAGATCCTATAAAAAGCACATACACGCCACGCCAAATGAAGCTCGCGGCCACGCCCTTTCATCTTCGTGATATGAAGTGTAGTTCGGGTGTAAAAACAAAATCCAAAAGATTATATTTACCTTACCTGGATATGGTCACCAACGGCTTCGACAACGTCTTCAAGTGTGAGGAGCTCATCGACGTTTTCCTTGAGAATCGCTGAAATAAGGAAATCTCAACATGGACCAAGTAGGAAGGCTGTTTGAGGACAAAGTCAACTCACAAGAAACATAATCCTTAATCTCAGAAGGCAGTGTGGGAAACGTTGCAGCGAGATACGCTGGTATTGCTTCTACATTAGCCATTTTAATTGTTTACAAAGAATTCGTGACCTGAAAGTAAGGAAGCAGAGATGGTGCGTTGTAAGGAAGAGAAGGACAGAGCACCCTGAAGTCTTCCTGGACTGTTAGAGCGCTTCGCACTTCGCGATCCGATCGCGCGATTCAAACGATCGAATCGCGAAGTATGAACGCTTTCCAAAAAAAGATGTTTAGAACCTCGCCTAGCACCTGAACTCGGCATTGTACCTGCATCTCTCAACGAGTTGCCTCAACAGGAAATTTGCACGGACTTTTTTCAAAGGGCCAAGGTAATAATGGGTAGCCGGACTGGTTACCACGCACATTCGGTTAACTAAACCCGAATCGGCTCTACATCGGTCCAATTAGGCCTTCACCTCAAGGGCCGTGTAAGTTACTAAGTTACTGTAAAGGCAATTCATAATACCACTACGATTAGACGCAAATGGAATGCACGACGCCTTGAAATACATTCTTGTTCGCTACGGGCGCTGGACGTTCCAGAAAAGCTGGGTTTGGGGTTGCGCCAGCCAATTCTCCACCAATTGTTGAAGCGGGGCAAGCGAAAATTCATGGAGAATGGGATGGCGCCGCGCCAACTTCTGGAACGCCCCAACGACCCCAGAGAGCAAAACTGTATATGAGCGGCTACGAATCAGAGATCGATATTCAAGGGGGCGACCAGCTGTCTCTATAAAGTTCCCAGCAAAAATCACCAGAGTCACCAAAAATCACCAGAGTCACCAAAAATTGTACGTTACTAGTCAAAAGCGCTTTAACTTTCCAAACCTTGCTCAGGTACATCAAAGAAATCGCATCAGATAACCATAAATATTACGAGGAATAATGAAAGTGAGGTGGATTCCGGCTAGAGGGCTCCATTAGGGACACTACGTTATCCGGAAACGAAGCCTCAAGAAAAAAAGCGGCATATTACTTCCCTTCCGCTTGAGTGGAATCCACTCTTACTCTCCTAAGTAATTTTGTTGCACTATATACCATTCACTACCACAACTTCCAGAATCGAGTAATTTGTTAACA